GTGCTTTATTTATCTTTTCACTTTGTCGGAGTTGCACGCTGAAGTGGAACCGAATAAATAATAACAATAACTGAATGAATCTTGACCTTTGACCTTGTCTCGTCGGTGCTGTTGCTTCCCGCTCGCTTATCCGAGATTGAATCTGTAGATTAGTTCTTTTTTTCCTATTCATAATTGGTGGTGGGGGGGGACTTGTAGCGAGGGTCAAAGGTGCTGAATGAGCTTGGAAAATACTGTGCCGTCGACTTTAACGCGAGTGTCTTTCATGTTGCATTAAAGTCGAACAAGCCACCTTTTGGGATTTTTTTTCCCTTTATTTTCTTGTCTGAAGGACGGTGGTTGCTGTATGAAAGACCGTGTTGCTGCATTGCCAGGGTTCAAGGAGATTGGATCACTTTTTGTTTGCCTCGAATCAGCTTCTACATAAAGAGCAAGAGACTAGCAGAGGACTGAGAGAGAGCAGTCTTTGTAGGGTTGAAGGAAAAGGTGGAAGAAAAAAAATTGCCTCCAGTTTTCTCTGATACCCCCCACCCACTCACGCACACACACACACACACACACACACACACAAGGACACACAAACACATAGACGCACAGACACAACAGAAACTATAAATGTATCTCAGAGATGAGCTATCTGTGTCGGGCCTTTTCTTCCCTTCTGTCTCTATGATGAGTTAGCAGGACCTGCAGTGATAAAGCTGATAGAAGGGCTGCTATCAGGTGGCAGTCTGGGTAATTACAACTCTCCATTTGGGGGCTTTGCGGTGATGCCATGGCGATAAAGGAGTATGTGTGTGTGTGTGTGTGTGTGTGTCAGAGGGGGAGAGTGGGAATAATGAGGAAGAAAAGCCGGCGATAATGTATCCTCTAAATTGTTCAACATAGTCCGTCACGAGGGGAAATTCATCTCACAACCTGGAGGTAAAACAAGCATCAGGCCGCAGAGACTGTGTGGAAGCTCAAGCATGTGCCTTGCAGGGGGAGCGGTAATCACAGTTCAAAAATCTGACTTTTCACAAAGACTAGGATAGGCTGTCGTTTTTTTTTTTAAACATATTTTTTTAATGATCCAGGAAGCCATTTGATTGCCGCTGCGTTTTTGTTTGCCCCTCGGGGCGTGGAGATATTCTGCAGTGTGAGATTACGTATAATACTTTGACAAGCGGCGGTTTAAAGATGAAGGTCTTATCAGCCCGGCGGACTCCACATGCTCCTGTGTTGCCACCCCTCCTTCCCCCCCACCCACAATGTGCCTTTTTCAAAAGTTTGGTGTATCTGTCAGTTCAGGTCCTCAAAGATCGAACTTGACAATCACTCCTCTGTTTCCTCATCGTTCAAGCATCGACACASACACCAACACAYACATTCACCTACGCAACCCTTGAGGCCATTTGCCTGCTCTTTAACACTGTTCTCTATATCTTCTATGGCTGTTTCTTCATTGTGAATCCCCTCACCAGGGATCATGACCACTATCAATAGTATTTTCACTAATGTGATTAAGTTAATACTGCGCTCTATGAGAGGATTATATCTCAATAATTCCTCTTGATATGCGTAATATTTAGGTTGTGGTTGAGTAAATATTTTGGTTCTTCACCAGAATAATTCCCACTGAGACAAAGGCACAGGATTCTGCCCCGAGGAGCAATAAAGGCTGTATAATTAGAACGATTAGAGAACTGCACAACTAATTTGGCACTTATTGAATGTATTTTCAGAACACAAACCTTCAAAATAGGTCACAATATTAAAACCCCACAAAATATATTAACTTTATTCACATTAATTCCCTATTTATTTAAACGTTCTGTGTGACTCATTTGAAGTGATGCTGAAGTCACTATTGTCTCTGTTCCTGTCATTATRTTGCCTTGCACTTAAGCATATTTTCTGTGTATTGTGGCGCCGGTAAAGACACCTCATTAGACGGAATATCTTCCAATTTRAATGCATTCATCTTTAAATAGTAATCAATTGGATCACTTGCAGACTCTAAACTGTTTGTCATTAGCACTTTATCAAAGGTTCAGTCAAGATAACATTATGTGGGCTAATGACCCGTGATGGTGAYAGATAAGCTTTTGATACGCTTCAAAATCTGCCTTTTATGTTTGACCAGAGGATGTATGTCAAAATTATTCAAATTTAACAGTGGCAATTAGATTTTATTTTAGTTTGAGGACAAGAAAAAGAAGCCACAATGAAGCTGAAAAGCTTGAAACAAGCTCATTATTTTAAAACCATCCATGCATCTTTGAATTACTGAGATATTTTAGTGCTTTATTTGACTAAACTCAATCTGAAAATCAGCTGTGGGAGCAGAGATGGTCTTCACTTTTATTTTTAAAAAAAGTGAGGATTATCAAGCCAGAAGGGGGGAGATTTCCGGCCTCGGCCTGCGCAACAAGAGGAGCAAGCAGCCCCAGCGAGGCAGCGAGACCACATCAGGTACACAATCAGGACCCCTCCCTCTCCTTTTCCTTCCCTGATAATGAGCAAACTTTCATGTGGCAGTAAATACTCCCCACTTTGTTGGGGTTTGAAGTGCACAAACACAAGATWTTGTTGTTTACCCTCACTTCTTTTCCCCTCTTGTCAAAGAAGAGCCATCTGATAGAGAGAGGTCAACTTGTGTTCCCTTGAAATCAATTTATTTCAAGCCTTGATTCCCCTCCCTCCCTCCTCCTCCTCTTCTTCCTCTTATGGGAGATGAACAGCTTGAGAAGGATGAGGAGGGAAGCAAACATCCCACATTATTCTCTACAGAYGAGGCCTTTTTTTAGTGCAAACTGGGATTATCCTGAGATCCTCATCAACTTTCTCTATAATTTACCGTGCTCTCTCACAGACTTGTGTTGAATAAAGTGTTCGGCACTATCGTGGAGATTCCTGCACCTCCAGGGGCTCCTTTCTCCGAATGATGGCTTTAGCACTTTTAGTGGTGAACTGTGCGAGATCTCTCTCCCTGGGTAGGGAAAAAAATGTCCCCATGGGCCTGTTGTTGCTGCTGCTGTCTGCCTTCTATTTGCATGATATTTTTCTTTTCAGCCTTATCATCAGTAGTGYGCTGTGAGGAGGAGGAGGAGGAGGAGGGAGTGGAGTGCTGGCTCCGTCTCAGAGGTTGGACCCAAGCTTCTTTATCAGCAGGTAATTCTCCCACTCTCACTAACTCATGTTGAATTATTTAGGTGTTATTTCGGGGACTCAGGCATGTGTACAAAAAAAGGGAGAAAACAC